CCATCCCCAGTGGGGTGGAAAACCTCCAGCCTGGCCAGGTCTTTAACTGCTGCATTATTCACTACTGCAACTGGAACTCTAGCTGGACCCACATCTCCTTGCACAAAACATGAGCGTCTGCAAAGAGGTGAAGACACTCGAGCAAGGAAGGCAGGGTAGTGTCCTGCGGAGAATCACTCTGGCCAAGGGCTGCTGATGACACAGCTGAAAACCAGCAACACTGTCTTCCCCTAACTACAAAAATTCCCTCCTTTATGATGCACTTGGGGAAATCAAAACACTGCCTCCCAGAGCCCCCAGAAAGGGGAAGCCAGAGAGGCGTGCACTGAAAAGAGGGGTGCATATCCCCATAGAATTAAGCTGGAACTCTGCAGGTGGAGCTTGAGTGAGTAGCTACAGGGGGAGGACCTGTGGATGCAGTGTTACAAAGAGAAACCCGAGTTGCAGGGGTAGATTGCTAATCAGGAACAAAGTATCCGTCTAACCCCAATCCTTTCCTGAACTCTCAAGCTCTGCGGAGTAAATAAGGAGGAAACCTCCGCCGGAGCTGCAGCTCCTACCTGTCCCCACCCCAATGTGCCTGAGGAGGGTTTGGCAGGAAAACTAAAGAAAAAGCTTGGTCCTCTCAGCTCTGGCTGTCAGTCTGGAGAAGAGTTCTTCTAACCCTTGATAGTGTGTGGACAGAGAAGGGCTTTAAGGAGGACAGAAAGGGCAGGCTATTCTCTGCCACCAGGCAAACAGTTCTGGCAGAAGCAGGTGCCACCAACACTGGGAACCAAGCTTCCAAAGACGGTGGGGAAGGAGGGAAGTACAGCATCTGGCAGTCAGGAGAGGAGGGAAGCTCCAGGGCAGAGAGAACCACCGAAGGAACACATGGCAGGCCACTGTGGAGGTGACACCCTGGGCACGGGCACAACTGACCTCCTACCCTCACACACTCCAGCCACAGATGACCCCAGCACTTCCTGTACGACGATCTAACTTACAAAGCTCTTCAGGGGCATTACCTATCTCCACCTCACACCCACCCGGGTGAGGCAGGGATCAGCCTCTCCCGACTTATAAGCAAGGAAGAAAGGAAACCGAGGCACACGGAGAAGTCAGAATCCATCGCAACTATATCCTCTGGGGAATATTGTAGAGACCAAGTTGAGAAAGGTGTCCCAACCAGTAGTGCAAGATTTATGGGAAGCCAGGAAGCCTCTCATCTTAGCCCAGAGCGCTCTGGCCCAGCTGCCTCAAGGTCTCAACACCAGTGCCAGTGGGCCAGCCCAGCCCAGCCCAGCCCAGCCCAACCCAGCCCAGCCCAGGAGGAGACAGGGCTGCAAGGAAGCAGGGGAGGAAACTGGGCTGGAAGGAAGCACAAACCTACAGCGCGGTTGTGGACGCTGACTGGGTTTGGGGAATATCTGTGGCTCCAAACAGAAGGGGAAATTCACTTGCTTTATCTCAGAGGCCTTTCATAGTCTTCCAAGAAAAACTTCCCCCTGCCCACACGTGTTTTCAGGGTGGGATGAGAGACACCCCTAGACAGCACCGGAGTGGCAGACACTGACACAAAGCTGTGGGTGAGAAACTTCTCTGCTAGACAAGGACACCACCACGCGGAGTGCTCCATTTGCTGCTATGCCAGCGGCGGAGGGGTCCAGAGGTGCGACCCCCACCATCCCGAACCTGTGAGGTGTACGGGAACTACGGTTTCACAACACCCCTAGGTTTCCGATCCGGGCGCGGTGCTTACCGTGCAGGCCGTTAGGGATGCTTCGATGGTGCGGCGGCGCCGACAGGTCATCCAGGGACCGGCG